TGTATTTTTAAAAACTCATTTTCTAACAATGCTTTTATGATCTATGTCTTGTATATTCCTAACTCAACCAGAAGATTTTTGTCAGATTTTACTTTTTATAGTTGGTTTTTATATTACAAAAACAAGATACTGAAAGTTTTTTCCCCACCCTTCTCCCCACTGTGAATAATTGATGTTTCAGCTGAGAAATAACAGGTTTTTCTCCTCGGAGAGAGCTGACTGGTGGATTGAGGGTAGGGGGTTGGGTTTGCAAATGTCTGATTTATTCCAAACAGTTTATAATAATTTTATGTGACTATGAGTTGGACTAATATCAGAAGTTACATGGTTTGCTATGCTAAGCCGTGGGTAGGTGGAGCTACTCCCAAAGCAACTGAGTGGCAGCTGAGTACCTGGCAGAGAGTAGTCTAAAGTGAACGAGTGGCAAGAAAGGGAGAGTATCTAGGGCCTTATGAAAACTCATTTGTTATGTGTGTAGCTAGTTGAGTGTTTATAATCTTAAAGTATCTTATTCATATGAAAGTAAAAATATTTACTTTGATTTAGTCATTGTTCTTATGTACAATTTTCTCTTCTTTCTCCACCCCCACCCCCCTTTTTTTTAAATTTCTTTTCAGTGATGATCTTTTCTCCTTACCTTACTGCCCGGGTAAGACCCTGGTGGTTGGAGCATCCTATGTCGCTTTGGAATGTGCTGGATTTCTTGCTGGTATTGGTTTAGATGTCACTGTTATGGTACGGTCCATTCTTCTTAGAGGATTTGACCAGGACATGGCCAACAAAATTGGTGAACATATGGAAGAACATGGTGTCAAGTTTATAAGACAATTTGTACCAATCAAAGTAAGTAGGGTTGCCTGTAGGTTTGTTGATTCTATACTAATGTTAAAAGGCAAGAAGAGAGTTGTGTTGATGGTAGCAGCATCCTTTTCAGCATTGTAAACCGTCAGGAATGCTGTGATTCCTCAACTGTTGTATACTGGTATATAAACTTGTACTTGCCTACCACCTAAATAGCTTTTTTATTTTTATTTATAGGTTAATATTCTCTTCCTTTGTCAACTTTTTTTTAACCTTTGGTTCTCTTCTGTTTAATGCTTCCCTTGATGCATTTGTTTATTTTATTATCTTTGGTCTATTAATACTTTGTTTCTTCATATGCTCCAGAGATTTAAATAAGAGTTTAAGACTAGGCTTATTCCCCCCTGCCAATAAGACATTTCCCCTTGGCATATAGGACAGTCAACACACAAACTACATAGTTCTGGCTTCCCTGGAAAGGATTATATCATTTTGTTACATGGGCTAGCCTTTCTAATTTAATCTTCTTTTAAAAACACCTAATAATATGCCAAGTTATATCTGGGACTTGTTAACATTACTGCAATGTTTTGATAGAGAAGACTGACAGA